CAAATAATTATGACACTTACCTTCGAAGATATTTCATTGTGTTACTTTATTTCCAAAAGATAAAGAATAATACTGAAAAGAAAAATAAAAATTAATTTTAAATAAATACCATACTTTACTGACAGAATATACTATACCAAATAAAAAAACTAATTAGTCAACTAATCGTTTATAATTGATTTTAAATAGTTCAAAATAAGTTGAAGTGCAATCAATAATAATTAAAACAAAAACTTTAAATACAGGTCGATAGTAAAAATTTCAAACGTAAGTATTAATTTGAAAAAATTAATGTAATTTAGAATACAAGTAAAAGCTACAACTTCTAAGATTCTGGGAAATATAAATATTTCACCTGAAAATAATTTTCTTGCGACTAATATATTATATTTACTTCTATAATAATAAACTTGGTTCTATAATAATATTGTAAATTATAAAATTAATTTTGTTAAAAAATGCGAAAAAGTTTTTAAAGGTACAAGTATTTCATGACCACACCCATAAAAAAAAATTTTTTTAATTTATATTAGGAGCACATTCAATATATAGAATAAAATGTAAGAGCAGTTTTCGTGCTTCAATTATGTGTGACATCTACAATGTTATTTCTATTAATTATTCACGATCATTCGTCTAATGTAATTTTTTTTAATTTAAGGCTGATCGTGATGTTATCTATTTAAAACTTTGAATATTAAAAAGTTACTTGTTTTGCAATATATAAGTACAGATTTTATCTATCTGTCAATGCACAAAAATTAAATTTTTTTTATTTGTAGATAACTCGATTATTCGGAGATTAACCGACCGATTTTAGTTTTGATGCAATATTTATGAACGAAAGATAAAGAATATATACCATTATGAATCCAACAGGTAGCATTGATGTATTAAGAAAAGACAAAAATATTAGTGGAAAATATAATGGAACTTGGTATTGATGAACAATGTTATTAACATTTAGAAATCAATAAAATTCGGCTAGTAAAAATAGAGTGATTAAACTTTACACTAAAGCAATTTAGTGTTTATATTAAAATAAGTCATGTTTAAACAGCAGATTCTATTGTGATAGTACAAAATACAATATAAAATAGCTTACAGTATAGAATAAAAATCGAATCGGATCGAATAGAAGAGTAAAATAAAATAGAATAGAATAGAGGTACAATAAATACACAAATGAACGAGAACACAATACAATAGCAATATTATACAGTACGATTTTTCATGGTAATGAAATAAAGGATAATCAACAAACAATTGTTATTTTTAAAAATTTTGTATCTTAAAAATAACTTATCTGAATACTTGCTTGACTTACATTGTTCCCCTTCTCTTATGAGGAATAATTGACCTTAATGTTTCCGTTTTCAGTATCAAATCGTTACTTCCTAATGTAAATTCATTAAATTAATTTTTTTTTCTTAAAGGTTATGATATTATCGTTCAAGAGCAGAACTCAATTAAGTTCAAAGTTATAAAAGTAATATGACGTCAACCAGAAGAAAAATATAATTACTTTTAAAGGAATCCAGATCAAGTGTTTTAAAATTAAACTGATTAAATTGAAGTTTCATGTTATATTTTTTAAAAAAACATCACCTGGTAAACTCTAAATAAATATTTAAGTTGCATTAATGAAATAACCATTATTTAAATACTTGTCATAAATAATTGAATATCTTAAATTATTATTATAGCAATTATTTTATTTGACAATATATTATATTATTATATATTAATATAATATATATTATATTATATATTAATATTGCAAATTTTCCTGCTTTGCTTAATATAAAATTTCAGATGAAAATAATAAATTTTAGTTCCATTTTATCAAATCGTATCAACTCTTATAAAATTTCTTATAATATAGACACTAGTAATTATATTTTCTCTTCAAATGTCTTTGTAACAAAATATTTTAATTATTTCTTGACGCCATGTTCACACATTGCTTTCGAAATCATTATTCATATTCGAAAAGTTTGGTTGAGTTCGTGATATTTTATAAGGAAACATTATTATTAACATAAAACATTTGCAAATAGATACTATAAAGATAAAATTCTCTACTTAAATTTTATCATAACTCAATTAAAAAAAGTTTTTAGATACTCACGATCTGAGTCAAATTCTTAGTCTTACATATAAAGATAGTTAGGTGTATTAGTATATTTGTTAGGCTCGAATTAAGCTAACAGCATAAATTATTTATAAATTATGTTGTTGTAGTTCACTACTGTTCGAAAAAACCTCTTTATAAAATATAATAAGTTCCTTTTAAAAATATAATAGTCACTTCCGTCTGAAAAATTTGATGTTAAATTCCAACTTAACACATATTGATCTCGCCCGTGCGATTAGTGGAATAACATTAGCATAACTTTCTCAGAATTACGTTCCTAGATTAGGTTCTATACATAAGAAAGAACAAATCATGCAACAAATAATGCCTCTACGAACAGAATAGTATTGAAATTTAACAATTAAAAATAAAAATATAATTAATTAATTAATTCAATTATTCTACAGCTGGTTAATGATTTCATTCTAATATTAACACAGCAAGTGAAATTGTTAAAAAAAACTTTCATAGCAAAAGTAGCAAAACTCCAGAAAAATATGCGAACATAAAAAATCAAGTACGGCTTTGGATCAGTTGATTAAGGTTCGCTGATTCTGAGCTTCACATTTGGCAGGACCCGAGTTCGATTCCTGGTACTTGCAGTCTCAAAAATAATTATTGACGAATAATTAAATACAAGAATTATTTCCAAGATCACTGATGACGGGTATTTGGCAATACTCGAAACAACTGTATGGTCAGCCAAAAATTCAATCAATTAAAATAATATAAAAATGAATTTTTGTTGTTGTAGTTCACTACTGTTCGAAAATACCTCTTTATAAATTATTAAAGTGAAGGATTGTTATTTAGCAAATAAATAAAAAAATTTATTTATTTATAAACTAAATATTTAAAATAAAAATAATAAAAGATTTTTTAATTGTTTAATATCTATTTAAAAATCAATTGGTTTTTTTTGAAGTCAATATTTCATTTTTTTTTTAAATAACAACGCTGCACTGTATAACATTGTTACGAATGTCATTTTCGATAGGTAGATTTGGATTCAATTTAGATTTATTTTCGATTTATCAAATATTGTTGCTCAATATAACGATTTTAAAATAACCTGACATTTTTGTAGTTGTGTTAGTAGCCATACATTTATTTCATAAATACATATGTAGAATCAAATCATACTTTATCTATCAAGTGATATCAAACAGCTGTGAATTTTAGAGTAATATTGCTACTTTGACAAAATATCTAGAGTTTTATAAATTTATCTCTAGTGTTATATATTTCGCTCGAGATTTACACTATTAGAACAATATTTTTTTATTTTATTTTATAATTTTTAAATAATGTATGCTTCTTGATCTGGTCTATTCAAAAAAATTGTTGAAATTTAAAAAATATAACATCCAAAAAAGTTTTAAAGCATTTAATGAAGCTTTGGCAAGACAGCGTAATTTTGAAGTGTCTAATAGAGCTGAACGAACTTTGTTTGGTATTTCATTTATTTATATATGTATTTTTTAATTTGATTAAAAAAATGAGTTATCTTTTGGCATGACGGCGGCTAGCTTACATATTTCGATGACTTGGCAGAAATCGACCAATTTTGCTTTAGATTGTCAAGATTGAATTTCGTTATACTATCCTAATTATTTGATTACAGTTACAGTAAAAATAATAATATTATCATATAATATTAACCATGTGACTTTTGTATAATTGCACTTATTTCTTCAGAACAAAATTTCTTCTTTAGAGTTTTTAGTTCAATTTAAGAGAGATATATTAAAATTTTTGTTTTTTTTTCTGTTTGAAAAATTCTTGATTAAATAATAATTTTATGCCACATAGAGTAAAAATTGTTTGGAGTGTTAAGTTTTAAATATTACACAAATTCTCACAACAATATTACACAAATTCTCAAATAAATTTTCTTTAATAGATTATTAATTGATGTATGTCTTAAGATATTTGAATAGAACATTTTAAAGAAATTGAAAATATTGACGTTTTCATGATTGAACGCTTTTTCTGGATGAAAGCCAATCTCCTTGGCATTTCTGTTAATATTGAAAACGGGATTATTTGTTTCGTTCTTATTTGTATCTACAATCAAATGATTTCTTTTTATAGTTATGCTACTTTAATAAGGAATGTCATGAATTTAAGTGCTTAAGCTTCGGTCAATAAAAATCGTAGTTTCAAATATTGAAGTAATATACATGGTATGAAAACATTTCGTATCCGAAGAAAATCCTTAGTCAAACATTTTTCAATATCACAAAAATAGTTTATCCATAAAAATTAAGTTTATCTGTTGTTTAATATCTTCTAATATTTAAGTTGTTCTACAAATTATTAGTAGTTTAGTTTGTTTTTTTTTGTTAAAATTTTTAATAATATTTAGGAAAAACTCCTTTCAAAATTTCCACTAAATTTTTTTATTGGTTTTTCGTAACCAATCTTGCCGACACCTTTTTATAAAAGAATTTTCCTACTATCAATATTTGAATAATAGCATAGTTTGAAGCAAACTGACTACAGACATTTTAACAAAATTGCATAAATTTACTCATTAATACTTATTGTATGGATTCAATATAATGTTTTTATTTTAATGTGAATATAACTGATATAACTATCTTAATTTAACTGAAATGTTAAAGGTAAAATTGAACATAATTTTATTGTTTTAATAACCAACATTTTCTTAAGATCAATTTTATCAAAAATAATTTTGTTTTTAAGATGGGCTAATTGGTTAATAATATACTTTTTAAAAATTTCTCTTATTAAGTCTTA